GTGGGGCAGTAGCAGAGCTGGCGCTCGTGGCGGGAGTGCCTGGAGGGAGGACCCCACGAGCTAGTAGAGGCCAGAAGAACACAAACGCATAAACAATCGCCCTGATAGAGGCACTTCAGTTCATCTATTGCACTACGTACTCGTCAGAGTTCAGGTATTTAAGCTGGTTACGCGTGATTTTGCAGACGAAACCACTTTAAAGTCCTCAAGGTGGCTTGTGAATCCTAAACGGACTACACGGTTAAGACAAAAGCTGCAGCTTCCAAGGCTTTCTACCTCCTAAAAGTCTAGTGGTGCTCACACTCTCCACTTCCCTTGTCGGTATGCTGATTGTCACTGGGCAGTACGAGACCTGCAATCTGCGTCGCATGCGCCACAACACACGAATATTTGGATGTTTTGTAGGCGTGAGAACCAATGCAATTGAAGGCTCCACTTCAGCTCATTTAATTACCTCTCGACCGATGCCGTTGCTAAACAACTAAACTATAAACTGTCCGGACCCTTGAGAAATGCGGTTTATTTCTATGCCTTCAAGATGTTTTTATCGTGCGTGGGAATGCGTCTTTGTCTATGTATCTACGGGTTTCGACAACAGAGAAGTGACTAGATGTGCGGGGTAAGGCGAAATTACGTCGAGGAGACGGAACAGAACGCGAACTGTGCAGACCAAGGCCCCCGGGATTTCTGCTGATTTTCCGCTTTCCCTGGCGCCTTGAAAAAGATAACGCAAGGCGCAAAACATAATCTTCATGTTTGTGTGAGTGCCAGTAATGCGGGTGGCTAGGCACAGTTGAGCAGTGATCAACGCGGAGATGCGGCAAAAGACTAGGATTTACTTGAGCCGACGCGTTGTGAGGAGCTCGAGAATAAGGCTCTGTGAAGGGCCTCATCCAGGGTGCAGCATTTTTCTGCTAGAGCGGCATGGCGGAACGCCTCTGCATGGCGGCCTGCACAGGCTGCCATTTCTACTACATCACTGCTGCGCAAGGAGCTTTCCCTAGGAGTGCCAATTCGCCATTGAGAAGGATCTTTTGCTCTGCTGTCATTCATATTCGAAGCTGTACCAGGCCCTGTGCCAGTTGACCGGGTTGCTTCTGGGGCCTTCCGTGTACTCGTAGACGTCACTCCGGACTGTTGCCTGCTGATGGATGCCTTCGGTCTCGCCTGTCCTGAGGGGGACCGCTTGAGCTGCTGAGACGACGAGTCTTGTCTGCGTGCAGCTGGTTGAGGAGGCGCGCTCTGTTTGAGTTGCGACTGTTCACTAGGCGCGTTACTGAGGCCACTTGGCACAGGGTCGCTGGCCTCTGCTTGTTGACTTGTGCCGTTAGAAACTGTCTGATTGCCCTGTTCGTTCGGTGGGTCTTCATCCTTCTGCGATGCTTCTTTAAGCTCATTTTGTATTTTCTTCTCAATGGTCTCGCTGAAAATGCGGAGCTTGCGGCACAGCGCTATCCAAGCAAGGCTTAAACAATTGGGGTCATCTAAGTCGATGCTCTCAATAGGGTCGCCACTAACTGTACTTCCTGAGCAGCCAGTTGGGTGATTCCTGTTTGCCACTCTTCGGAGACTGCGCAGGCGGATCTGCAAAAGTAATACTAGGGCCCTTAAGAATGCAGTGAATAACACGGGTCGGCGGTGCAGGCGGAGAGAATCTTCCGCCATAGTCTCATAGGTGGGTGGTCTTGGTTTATCCTGGTGGCTGATGACGTGTTCGTAACTCGTTGGAACGCCCATTGGCGAGCGAGGAGTGTGAGAGTGCTGCTGCTGGTCAGCCGCCGGTGTAACAGCAGGTGCTGACACTTCTGTTGTATCTGGTGCTGCATCTGGTGTTTCGCGTGGCGTTGCATGTGGTGCTGCAGTAGGTGCTGCATCTGCCGCTGCATCTGCAGCTCCATCTGCTGCTTCATCCGGTGCTGCATCTGCTGAGCTTTTCGTAAGCTCAGCCAGGCGGATGTCTGTGCTTTGTGAGCTGCGCCTCCTCTCCGCCGCAATGACCGTCAGCGTTGCGGGCGTTCCAC